TCCACGGAGAAGTCCTCGGGCCCGATGGAGGGCCGCTGCTGCCTGGGCTTGGCGGCCTTGGCGCCGCCGCCCGCCCCCTCCCCCGCCCTGGGCCGCGGCTTGGGCAGCGGCGGCTTCTTGTACCCCGGCGGCTTCAGCACTTTGCGCTTGGGCTCCTTGGCAACAGCCTCCGCCTCCGCCTCCGCAGCCTCCTCATCCTCGTCCCCCTCTTGCTCCTGCGGGGCAGCGGGAGGCGGGTGGGGGCGGGGGGGCACGTGTAGGGGGCACGGCACCTTGGGAGGCACCGAACCGGCCACCCGCAGCGTCACACCCGCTTGCTCCCCCCCCGCAGCTCGCAGGCACGGCCTGGCATTCTCAACAGCCAGCCCGCAGACCCCAGCAGAGCATGCAGCGGCCCAGCACAGCCCGACCCACCCACCCACCGACTCAAGGAAGTCTGCGTCAAAGCGGTCCTCTGGCTCCGACTCCGTCTCGTACCGCTCGTCGTTGGCCTCCTCCGCGAAAAACTCCTGGTTCTGCGCCGCGCAGGAAGGAGGAAGAAGCGCGAGGGAGGGGATAATGTGCGGTAGCGAACAGGATGGGCAGGGGGTGCCACTGGCAGAGAGGGGCCACCGGCAGGAGCGAGCAGCAGCGGCGGCGAGGCGGCAGGCGGCGAAGCGCAGCCAAGGGCTGCAGGCGGGCGGCGCACCCAGAATTCCTCGTCGCCCTCCTCCGCCGCCACCTGGCCCATGCGGCCGCCGCGCGTGGTGCGCTGCGGCAGGGCGCGCGGCGGCGGAATCACAAACGCCTTGTGCTTCTTGCGCGGCCGCCGCCGGGCGGTGGGCGACTCGTCGTCGTCGCTGCCGCCCTCCTCCTCCTCGCTGCCCTCCTCCTCGTCCTCATCCTCGCTGCCCTCCTCCGCGCTGCTGCCCCGCTCCTCTTCCTGCAGCAAGAAGAGAGGCGGGCAGTGTCAGCGGTGGCGGGGGAGTGCCGGTGGGAGCTCGGGACGCCGTCCCAGCGATCCCGCAGCCCTACCTCATCGCTGCCAATCTCCTCCTCAGCGCTCAGCTCCTCCTCCTGCTCCGGCAGCTCAGAGTCGGAAGCCATCGCTGCCTGGGCCAGCGCGCTCGGCTCAAGTGGCCCCTGACTTGAGCTCCAGTGGCTGTTTTTGGTTGAAAGAACACAGGTCCGCAAGCCGTCCACGCTGGCAGGTTTCCAGCATTTCACTCCATTGCAGAGCCTCCCGCTGCCGGCTACATCGCCGATCGTCCATCAGGCGCTTATGCATCTTGACCAGCTGCATTCCAGCGCTCTTGGGCCCACTGCCGTGCGACCCATGTCGCAGCAACCTGGCTGCTGGGCATAGCGACGCAGCGCCAATGCCAGCTAAAGTTCCACACCCCCAGAACGTCCTGCGTGGACACCGCGGCGAGGTGCAGGCCCTGGACTTTGACGGCAGCGAGCGCTTCCTGGTGTCGGGGTGCGCCGCCCGCCCGCCCTGCCGCGCCTTGCTCAAGCCAGTCCAGCCAGGGCGCTCTGCTTTTGCTGCCGCCCTTGATTATGACCATGTGCATGCATGCAACATGCAGGGACTCGCTGGGAGAGGTGCGGGTGTGGGACCTGGAGGACATGCGGCCCGCCGCCATTCGCCGCCTGCACCCGCTGTCCGCCGGCATCCTCAGCCTGCGCCTCTTCAAGTCGGGCGGCCGCCAGCTGCTGGGCACGCAGGGACGCGACGGCACCACGCTGCTGTGGGGCTGCGACCACGGGCTGCAGCTGTCAGAGTGAGTGAGGGCCGGCGCTTGGGTGTTGCATTTTGGGAAGAGCAACTGCCATGCAACAGCAATGTGCTGCGAGGTGCTGATACTCTTGACAGGCAACGCGATTCCACCAACACTCTGGTGGCCCCGCCTCGCCGCAGGGAGCCGGTGCGCAGCATCATGCGCGACTGCTACAGCTTCTGTCGCTTTGCGGTGCTGGCAGGCGAGCCGCTTGATGGCCAGAACCCGCCCGGCAGCGTCCGTGAGGGTGGAGAAGAGGCGCAGCAGCAGAAGCAGCAGGAGCAGCAGGAGCACGATTCTGGGCAGGGTGAGGAATTTGTGGCTGCGGTGCTGGCAGATGATGACAGCCCTGCTGGTGCGGCAGATGCTGCTGCAGCCTCGGCAGCAGACGTGGACCAGCTGCTATCGCAGCAGGGGCAGCAGGCCAAGCAGCCAGGTGCACATGACCCAGGCCCCGCCCCCGACGTAGGCGCGGCAATCTGGGCGCTGCACCCGTGCAGCCAGGCCAGCGCGCAGCACCCGCCCGCCCTGCTGGCCATCCCAGGCGGCGACGAGCGCACCGCAGAGGTTGTGTGCTGCAGCTGCGGCAAGCAGGTGGCAGAGTTCCGGGAGGAGGCAGCCGGCAGGAAGCTGGGCATGGTGATGGCGGTACAGCTGTACTGCCCTCCAGAGGTGCCACCAGCGGCACCAGATCCTGCGCGGGCGGCCGCAGCTCCCCACCCCAGCATCTGCCTCGCGGCTGGGTACGAGGACGGCAGCGTAGCGGTGTGGCAGCTGGGCGTGGCGCCGCACGCGCCGCCGCGCGCGCTGCACACGCTGTGCCGCGAGCCGGTCATGGCGCTGGCTGTGGACTGCACGGGGGCCGGCGGTGCTGCGGGGTCTGCCGAGGACCAGGTGGTGGTGTTCAGGCTGGACCATGCCGCAGGGCGGGTCAGCGTGCGGCACTCCATCGAGGTGCAGCGCAAGGGCATTGGCGACGTGGCGGTGCGCCCCGACCGCCGCCTGCTGGCCACCGCGGGGTGGGACGGCCGCGTGCGGGTGTACAAGTACCGCAGCGGCAGGCCGCTGGCCATCCTCAAGGTGGGTGCTGGGTGCGCAGCTGGTGACGGGGGCTGCGGTAAGTGGCAGGCGAGTGAGAGTGGTGGGTGGGCAGGAAGGCCGGCGCATGGGCGTGCTCTCGGTGCGCAGTGCAATGCGTGCGGTGAGATCCCTCGCCTGCCCGCCTGTTTTTTTCCCACGCGTCACACCTGCAGTACCACACCTCTGCCGTCACGGGCATCCGGTTTGCGCCCCGGAGCATGCTGCTGGCGACGGCGGCGCGCGACGGCACCGTGGCGCTGTGGCCCCTGTTCCAGCCAGCGGAGCAGTAGCAGCCAACAGATCAGCAGCGCCGTCTGTAAACTGGACAAAAGGGACACGTTGAATTTGAATTGCAAACCCAAGCCCTCCTTTCCTCCTGACCCTCCCTCCTGCTGGGAGAGGCAGCAACCCCCCCAGTTGCATTCCAAGGCTTCCATGGTGCTGGTGGTTGCTTCTAGGGGCCTGGGACCTGGCCCAGCGAGGTGCCAGGCTCTGCCAGCGCCTCGTTCGGTGGCCAGCTGCTGGGAGGAGGCGGCCAAGGCGCACCAGGGGCGCCTGACGCTGCCTCTCTTCAGCCTGCGGGATGGCAGGCAGCCCTGGGACCTGCAGCCTGTGTTTCAGGGCTTCCAGGCAGCCCTTCAACTGGACCTGGAGCAGTGGGCGCTTTGCACAGCGTTTCAAGAGCTGAGCCGCCTTGGGCAGGGCTCTACAAACGCCCTGAACCAGCAGCTGCAGCCCCAGCTGCTTGACCAAGAAGAGGCGGCGGCGACGGCAGGAGCGGTTCCCGCCTTCTTGCTGCTCACTGCCCGCACTCCGCACATGAACGGCCATCTGCGCTTGGCCACCGCCACCGTCGACGTCCCCATCCTGCCTGGGCCTGATGCTGAGCAAGCGCTATGCCAGGCAAGGCCAGAGGATGACAGCCAGCAGCGGGCAGGGCCTTCAGCCGCCCCCGCTCGACCCGTGCCAAGTGGCCCTTCCTGCTTGGGCGTGTGCTGTCGGTGCAGGTGGCCCTGTCCAGCGCCATCATCCAAGACTGCGGACTCACGCCGCTGCCGGCATTGGCCTTGCCGCTGCTGGACAGAGAGGTGAGGCCCACGCTGGCGCAACCCCAGAGGCATTCTGCCTGATCTGACGGGCCCATGTAGAGGAAGACACCCTGCCTTCAACACATTGTTGTTACCCTGCCGGCCGCGCAGAAGTTCCGGTGCCAGCCGCAGCCCCTGCCAGAGTTGCCGCCAGCGGTCAAGACCATGCGGTCCCTCAGCTTGGTTGGCAGCCTGCTTGATCGAGCGCCAGCCGCCGCCGGGAACCCACCACTGCTGGCTTGATTGCCCGCTCCGGCGGCCCCCGGGGAATGACGGCATGGCACCTCCGCAGCGGTTGGGTGCATGGCGGCGGAGGTGAACAGGCCTGGCGGCGGGAACCTTTCTTTAGCCAGCGGGGGTGCTGCTTGAGGCCGGTGAAAACGGCTTTGTCGCCCTCAAAGAATTCCCGGATGCCTGTGGCAAGGAATCAACCTTTGCAGGCATAGGCAGCAGGGCTGCGTGGCAGCTGGCAGCGCTCAGCCTGCTGCCACTGCCATGGCTGGCGCCAGTCACCCCCGCGCTGCCCAGCTTCCTGCTGCGCCCGGCGGAGCCGCCGTGTGCCGACACGGCTGCTGCGGGCGCTGATGGCTCAGCCCACCAGTTCATTACGCTGGAGGCACCTGTACTGCTGGTGCCAGGCCCAGCGTGCACAGCAGCGCCGGTGCCGGGAGCACCCATCTCCGCCTTTCCCGACCTGTTCCAGCCGGTGGCGGTGCCAAAGGTGGCGGTGGAGCTCTGCTTTGCGCCAGAGGGCTGCCAGCCGGCCAGCCTGTCCAGCCTGCTGGCCCAGGATCTGGTGCTGGACGATGGCGGCCTGGTGCTGCCTGCGGTGGTGGTGGAGGAGGATGGCGGGGAGGCCGCGTCAGGTGGGCAGGCTTGGGCCGCGGATCGTTCTCAGCATGGCAAGGGGCCTGTGCATCAGGGAGCAGGCAAGAACATGTGTCATGCATGCGTGCCTGCTGTGCAGGCGTGGCGCTGCTGCCGCTCATCCGGTCCGACTGCGGCTGCAAGCCAGCCAACACCGCCCACCTGGCTCTGTACCTTGACTGGTGGGTGCTGCTGCTGGGTGGGACGGCTGCCTGTCTGGCACTGCCCCCACGTACTGCTCCTGCCCTGTCATCTGCAGGTCTCTATCCAGCACACAGCCAGCAGCACGGCCGCCCGAGCTGACCGCTGCCATGCGCAGCGTGAGGCAGCAGCTTCTGCCAGCACGCATGCCTGCGACTGCATTGGCGGTGCAAGCCAGCGGATACCGCGCCGCACTGCTGCAGCAGCTCGTGGCTCCATTCCAGGCGGGCACAGGAGCCTCACTGCAGGCAGCAGCAGCATCAACAGGCGGAGTGCAGTTCAAGCTGCTACCACAGCCTGCACCACGGCAGCAGGCAGGCGAACAGCAGGCGGGCGCTGCCGCCAGGCCTGCTGCCGGCCGCAGCGGTCAGCAAGTGGCCAAGCGTGCCACGCGAGGCGCGGCAGCAGCAGACGGGATGCAGTATTTTCTTCAGCTGCAGCGCGGCTGCCTCGGGGCGGTGGCTGGCGCAGGGGCAGGCCCGGCCGCCCCAGCAGAGGCAGGCGCCACCACGGCCTCCAGCAGCAGCAGTGGCGACATGGCAGATGCCCTGGAGCTGCACCACCGCCAGCCCTCCACCTCTGTGCACTCTGTGCAGCTGCCGCCGAGCCATGCCCAGCTGCTGCGCCTGCTGCTCGAGGACGAGCAGCGGCTGGTGCGGTCGGCGGCGCAGCCCGGCATGCCGCCTGAGGTCGCCCGCTCCGACTTCCTGTCTGTGGAGGTGCTGCAGCGGGCGCTGGAGCAGGCAGCAGGTGCGCAGCGGGAACAAGAAGGGCGCGCCCAGGAAGCTGGCTGGGCCGGGCACGCCTGCCCCTGGAGCAGAATACATTGTGGGCCTGGCACCGAGCGCGTGCAGCCCTGTGTTTGAGGGGCCTCCTTGCCCCAGCTGCAGGCCAGCCCGGCAAGCGCGACCTGCTCAAGGTGTATGCAGCCATGGCAGGTAGGCGCGGCTTGCTCTGTGGTGCATGGTCCTTGGACAGAGCTGCACCGAACGATGCGCACCTCCCTGCCTGACACCGGCGCTGGCTGGCGGTCCTGGTTCCCGCCCGCCGGTGGGTGTGCAGTGATCCACCAGGCGGCGTCCACGCTTGTGCACCACGGCATCCGCTGCGCCCACCTGTACCTGTCTCAAAGCCAGGCCGAGCTGCCGGGCCTGCTGAACGCCGTCACAGCCGCCAGGGAGCTGCGGGCGGCATACCAGCAGGTGGATGCCGCAGTAGCGCCCGCTCCCATTCCCTCACACAGCTCTGCATGCACATAGCGCCCAGCCAACCGCCCCTAGCTCCAACCAAAGTTCGCTGTCCTGCCGCAGGTGGAAAGCGGCAGGCTGGAGGACTGCCCCAAGCACGCAGCGCTGCAGCGGCTGCTGGGAGGCATCGCCACGCTGGGCCCGGTGAGCGCATGCCGCTGGGCTGGCTCCGCCCGACTTGTTTCCATGTGCTTGCCTGGCAGCTGCTCCCAGCTTGGCATGTTGCCACGCCTGCCCGCAGGGCTGCAAGGTCTGCATCATCGGCCACCCCAAGAGCTTCTTCACGCTGTACAAGGCGGTGCTAGACAGCGGAGCGGGGCGGGTGTGCCACTTTGACAGGGATGGCCGCCTGCTGAGCGGCGGCGCCAGCGGCGAGCAGCTGGACGCAGCGGTGCAGCAGGCCTGCGGCGGCGCGTCCTGCCTGCTGGTGGCTGCTGAGCTGGTGCAGAGGGGCGGCTTCCCGCTGGCGGCTTTCCAGCAAGTGGTGGTGTATGCCTCGGAGCAGGAGGGGCAGGCGCTGCGGGCGCGTCTGGCTGAGGTGGCGTGCCCTCTGCACTTCCTTGAGGTGGAGCTCCCGGCCCAGCAGGCGCAGCATGGTGCAGCAGCGGGGCCGCCACAGCAGCGGGTGGTGCCAGGAGGGGAGCCAGGCGGGCAGCGGCAGGCGGCGCAGGGTGCAGCAGCGGGAGGAGCCGGGGCGGTGGCCTGCGTGCAGCACGCCTGCCGGCCGGCGGCGCCAGCGGTGGCCGTGGTAGCGGCCCAGCAGGTGGCGGCGGCCTCCTGCCCCGACTGGCCCGTCATCATCTCCAGCGACCCCTGCCGGCCCATCAGGTGCATGGGCAAGGCTTGCTGCAGCCAGTGGGCAGCCAACGGGAAGGAGCTTGGGCCACCACCAGGGCCATGCTTTGGGTCCAGTCACGCAGCCCCGCTCGGGACCCATGACTCATGCAGGTCCCGCCGGGTCCTATATGAGGCGGTGCTGGGCGTGGAGCGGCTGGGCGGCAGCGTGGTGGAGCGGCGGCTGTCGCTGGTGGATCTGGTGCTGTCGCCCTCGGCCGGCCTCGTGATCTGTGACAACACCGCCAGCAAGCTGGTGCGGTGGGACGCACGGTGGATACCATAAGGGTGCCTGCCTGCCTGCCTACCGTGCCTGCCTGCGTAGGTGCCTCATGCATGCATTCACGCCTGATTCCTTGTCACGTGCTGACGGCAGGCTGCCGTGATTTGACACAATTTTGCTGGTGGCTGCCGCAGGAGTTTGATGCCTTCTTGGCCGCGCTGGCCCCCGTGCTGGGCCGCCTCAGCTACGCCTTTGCCAGGATCGTGCTGGTCTGTGAGGGCGGCGCCGGCTTCCAGGCCCAGGTGTGGGAGCGTGTGGCTGGACTGGCGCTGCTTAAAGCAAGCTAGCCAGCTGCCAGAGAGCACCAGGACACCGATGCATCGGTTCGTGTGCCCTGCTTGCTGCCGCAGGTGCTGTGCGGCACGGACCGGTTGCTGGCGCTGGGCCGCCGCTGCGGCCTGCACCTGCAGTGCCACGCCACCACCAGCGGGGAGTCCAGCGCGGCGGTGGTGGGCAGCGTGGCGCGGGCCTGGCTGGCCAGGTGGCAGGCCGCCGACCCCGGGCTGCACTACTCTGTCGCAGAGGCGCCTCCAGAGGAGGAGTCCTTGCTCACCAGGTGGGCCAGGGGGACTGCCTGCACCCAACCCGCCGCCGCTGAGCACCAAGCCACCGTGCTGCGGGTCAGGCCTGCATGAGCGGCGAGCTGGTCCTGCGCAGCCAACTGCCTCCGCTGCCACGCTGCTGCAGGTTTTACAGCGTGAACCCCCACACCGCGGCGCTCCTGCTGTCGCTGGGCCTCAGCCTGGGCCAACTGATGCGCCTCGACTCGCTCAACCCGCTGCAGGTGCCCAACCGACATTGCAGCAAACGTGCAAGCCTAGCTCACGCTGTGCATGCTGTGGTCCCACACTGCGGTGCCCTGCCTGAGTGTGCCCTTCGGGGCGTGCCCTCTGTATGCAGCTGCCCATGGCCCTCGGCCTGGTGCCAAACCACTGCCTGGAGCTCTTCGCCGCCACCGCCTCCCACGGTCACCCACTGCGAGGCTTGCCAACCGTTTCAGGCGCGCTGCCTGCCTGGCTCTGCGCTCCTTTCTGCCTGGAAGCACCAAAGTCTGAATGTCCGCTGGTGCCTTCTCCATGGCGCTGAGTGCCTTCCCACCCTCCAACCATGCGCCCTGGTGCAGTTATGCAGCCGCACCACCAGCAAGCATCGGCGATGCCGCCGGCTGTGCAGCCCTCTGGTGGCATACCTCCTGCTGGTGCCGGCCAAGCGGGTGGTGACCCATTCAATGGCGGCATGTCACCAGGCCAAGGCTCAACCATGCCTCGTGCCTGGCCGCAGCAGCCCCCACGGCAGCCATACGGGGCAGCAGGGATGCATGGCGCCGCTGCGCAGTACGGCGGTGCACACCAGGGCGAGGTGTGGGGTGGGGTGCCGGGGCACCAGCACCACCAGATGCACCAACAGCAGCAGCAGCAGCAGCAGGTGGCACAGCATTATGGCCAGGGCGAGGAAGGGCTGGACTACCAGCACGCGTATGCGCTGCCGGAGCAGGTGCAGAAGCAGGTGCACCCTGCCGCTGTGGCCGGCGGAGGCCGTGGCGGCTACCTGGAGGGGCAGAGGGTTGCAGCAGCGCAGCAGCAGCAGCAGCAGCAGCGCTGGGAGCCATACACTCAGATGGACAAAGATGTGAGTGCAATCCAGCAGTGCTTTTCAGCCTCCTTTGAGCTCGTGCATGGACATGTGCCGCCCAGTGCCTGCGTTGCCGAGGTGAGCTTTGCCCGAGAGACTGACAACCATGTCTGACCGACACCTGCCTGGCTGTCCGCTGGTGCAGGTGTACCAGCACGGCCAGCAGCTCATGCATTCCCGCCTGAGAGTCGTGCCGGAGGCAGCACTGGGCCCACAGCATGCTGGATGGCAGGCCCAGCAGCAGGAGCAGCTGGAGCTTCAGTACCAGCAGCAGTACCAGCAGCAGCGCCGCCAGCAGCAGCAGCTGCTGCAGCAGCAGGCCCTGGCGGAGGCGTTCCCAGACATCAACCCCACCCTGCCAGACTGGGATGAGAGCCCCGGGGTGGCTGTCGGAGCTGCCGGCGGTGGCTCCAGAGAGCCGATGGGGGCTGCGCAACAGCAGGCGTGGTGGAAGCTGCAGTGGGATCAGGCGCAGCAGCAGGGATACCATCCAGGCAGTGCGCCGGGACCACACAAGCAGCTGCCTGAGCTGCCGCCGCTGGCACGGACAGCAGCTCGTGCTGGGGTGCCTGGTACATACGGTGCCTCCTTGGCACAGCACCAGCAGCGGCAGCAGCATGGAGCGCTGTGGCAGCGCCAGGGGCAGGAGCGGGACGAGTTTGGCGTGTCACTGCAGCCCAGCCTGTCGACTGATGATGAGAGCGACATTGTGGGCCCTGCTGCCGATGCGATGCTGCCTGGCGCTGGCCAGGTGGCGCCCCGGGTGCAGCAGATGCACCAGTTGCTGATGCCGGGCCCCGGCCAGGAGGCGCCAGGGGCCGCCGCATTTGGCGCAGCAGCGGCCACGCCGCCGTCCGAGGCCTTGCTGGGCACCCGCAAGCGCGATTTCTGGGTGCCCCGCATGTCCAGGCCGGTGGCCAGCCGCCAGCTGGCGCGCGGTGCCGGGAGGGTCCTGGCGGCACAGCCGGCGGCAGGGTGAGTGGCGCGGGGCATGTCGCGCCTGGCGCACGTTCTTGTGCAGCTGCAGGGGTTGCGCGCATGGCTGCTTTGCACGCCGCCTTGCCACTTTACCTGCTGTTTCTGCGCACCCGGCTGGCTGCACAGGCATGACTGGCAGGAAGCAGGCCAGGAGGAGGGGCAGCCCGGGCCTGATGTCAAGCGCCCGCGTGGAGCAGAAGCCACCGCCGCTGTGCCCAACAGCGGCGTCATCAACCTGCTGCACCCGGCGGGTGGCGGCGGCAGGGGTGGCGGCGGGTACAGGCGGCAGGGCGGCGGGCGCTGGGGTGGCGGCGGGGGGCGCCGCGGGGGGCGCTGGGGAGGCGGCGGGTACAAGAGCAGCACTTCGACGAGAAGGTGGTGACTGAGGATATCTGTAGGCCAACGGGCCTTGTAAAGCAGGCTGCCCACAACCCTCTTAAAGGTAACCTCAGCTGTCTGTGCATGCTATATGGCCAGTGGCTGCGTCGCTTGCAGGGAGTCTTGCGATGGTTTTCAAAATTGGATTGGCCTCTTGGTGGACAGCGCTATGTACGCAGCCGCAAACGCGCTCCCGGCGCAGTCTACGACCCAAAGCGAGCTACTACAACGGCATCCTACAGCCCGTCCCCGGCGCTGAATAACAGGCGGCAGCCTTCAAGCATGTCGCGGGCACGCCGATGAGGTTTGCGGACACAACATGCCAAAGTTTGACCCACCATGCGCGCCTCCACGTGGGCCCCATTCTGTTTGATGTCTTCCGAACCTCCAACTCGCTGCAGATCAACTTCCCACCCTGATAAAGCATTTACAGGGGCTGCAGACTATCTTTCTGCAATGGTCAGCGCGGGTGTGGAACTGTCTTGCCGCACAGGGCAGGCCCCGCAAGCTCTACTGCGCCGGCCCCGCTCCTCCTTCCCTGGCAACCACCTGGCAGCGCCTGGGCTGCGCCAATGCAGCGCTCGCACAGCATCCAGGCGCCGGGGGCTGCCCTTGCGCCCAGCCGCCACTGCCGCAGCGGTCACCCTCACGGCGCCTGCCCCAGAGGAGCCGCCGTCGGCCAGCAATGGCGCCGCCCCGCTCCCAGTACCATCACAGGCCGATGCGCAGCCCAAGGCGCCGGAGCCGGCGCTGTTCAGCGATGCCTGGAAGGAGGCGCAGCGCAAGGACATGCGGCAGGTGGGCGCGCCGCCTGCTGGCGTCACCCACGCACACGTCCTCCCACCCCCAAGTCCTACTCAGCCTGCGCTGCATCCATGTGACTCGTCCCCTGCCACGCCACCCCACCACCCCTTCCCTGCCGCAGGTGTTCGACTATGAGCGGTGGAAGATGCACCGCAGCTCGGGGCGGTACATGCGGCACGTGGCGGGGCTGGCAGACTCGCGCATCGTGAGGCGCCGCCACCCGCCGCACGCACGCTTTGCCTGCCCAAACCCTCGCTCCCATCTGCCATGCTTCCTGGGGAGGGCGGCTCCGCATCCGTCACTTTGCTTCCAGTGCGCTGGTGGCGAGGGTGTCACTGACGCAGTGATGTCGCCGCCCCACTGCTGCAGGTGGGGGGCCTGGTCAAGCCGCTCGCGTATGTGGCGGTGGTCAGCTGCGGGGTGATGGCCTACAACCTTCTGGTGGAGGTGCGCCCCAGGCCTGCCTTGCCTGCAATGGCAATGCAAGCCTCATCTGCACCAGCCGCACCACTGCTGCTGGCACATGCAACATATCACGATCACGCAACGCTTCCTCGCCTGAGTACGAGGACGGCATGGCAGCACATGCGCGGAGGCTCATCACCCCACCCCAGCCTGGCCCCTCCTGCAGGCAGGCAAGCTGCCGCTGTGGCCCATTCTCAATGTGGCAGCCAACGCGCCCTTCGGCCTCACCTCCTTTGCCCTCTCCCTGCTCCTCGTCTTCCGGTGAGTGGTCAGGCTGCGGCTGGACGGGATAGGCTGACTGCGCCGCTGTGGCTGCTTTTGCTCATGAGTCTTCCTGGCATGGCCTGGGGTGCCACCTCTGACGAGCCTGGCAGCTCACCAGCACACTGGGCGCTCCAGAGTCATGGCCTGCCCTCCCTGCGCCGCCTGACCACCACCGGACCACGAGGAGCAGGGAGAGGGCAAAGGAGGTGAGGCCGAAGGGCGCGTTGGCTGCCACATTGAGAATGGGCCACAGCGGCAGCTTGCCTGCCTGCAGGAGGGGCCAGGCTGGGGTGGGGTGATGAGCCTCCGCGCATGTGCTGCCATGCCGTCCTCGTACTCAGGCGAGGAAGCGTTGCGTGATCGTGATATGTTGCATGTGCCAGCAGCAGTGGTGCGGCTGGTGCAGATGAGGCTTGCATTGCCATTGCAGGCAAGGCAG